AAAATTTTACTACTGACAGAGATACAAAAGTGGGCGGTAGGTATAAAAAGGTTGACTACCCCTGACTTAGATATTCATTTTCACTTCTATTCATTACTTTTTTAATGTTTTCCCTTAAGTCATGCACTATTGACAAAAAGAACTTTAATAATGTAGCTCCTTAAGAGGCAGCCTCATTGATTAGAACTTTCTTCCGCCAATTAATTAACAGAACTTTCGATCAACTGAGATTTGAAGGTTACTAAACCCTAGTATTTGCGGATAAGCACACAAAATAATGTAAATTTTCTTCTAAGCATCCAGTACTGAGACATTGTCCTGTGAATGGGTCACTGAGTGCATTTGTATGAATGCAACCAGAGAGGACAGTTCTTCTGGCACTGCCATTCAAGCAAAGCACATAATTCACCTGAAGAATTAAATACAAAATTTGGTGATGACTACTAACCTGGATCCTTTAAAAGGGCAATGGTTAAATCCATGGAAAACAGTTCTATCAAAGGCTAGTACAGACATCGCATTACCTTTAAGCTGGGGGCAGCATGCCTCCCAATACCAGGTGCAGGGCAAGAATGACGGAAGAGGGCTATATTCCATCTATTTGTAAACACTAGCAGGCACTGGATTGGTCACTGTAAGAAATGCTGGATTAAGCTAAATCTTGGCCTAATTCAGCCCTTCTTTCCTAACAACACTGAGCAGAAGAGTAAAGAGGAGTGATTTAGTCCCTTTGCAAGCTTCCCTTGTGAATTATTTGCACAACTCTAAAAATAAACCACATCTCCATTACCTGGCCGGACAGTCTGCCACTGATTTGTTGGATAAAACACTTCCAAGTCTTCAGAATCAAGAACCTCTTCTTCCACCTCGATCACTTCCAATTCTTCCTTGTTCCGTTCTTTTAAATCACCCTCTTCTTTTTTTGTCAAAGCAAATTCCTACATGAAGAAAGGTAGGGTTATTTTTAGACCTGCATATAAAGGTAAAAGTAAAGGTTTCCCCTCTCCATTCATGTCCAACTCGGGGAGAGGAGGGAAGTAGTGCTCATCTCGGTTTCTTGGCCTAGGGAACCAGGGTTGCCTGAAGATATTTCCGTGGTCATGTGACCAGCATGACTACACATCGTGTGGCACAGAATGCTGTTAATTTCCAAATTGGTACCTATTTATCAGGTTGCATGCAAACTTTTGAACTGCTAAGTAGGCAGGAGTTGAGGCAACTAACAGCTCACCCCATTGTTCGGCACTTGGGTCTTGAACCTGGGCTGCCAGCTTTCTAGCATGTATATTATCTTTTATTAGCGAAAGTACTCTATGTATTACACATGCATTAGAAAAGGTCTGTTAAAAAAAACCAATTAAATGTGTGGATAACCATCTGCATTGAAAGCACAGTGCTAAAAAGAGAAAGATTACCATCCCACTCGCCCATATTCATTCTGGCTGATGGCTTAACTTTCTTTAGTGAAACGTATTCAGTATTTGTTTATTAAAAAATACTTACCGTAACTCTGTCATTCAAGCATGAAGAGAAACTTGTTATAAAAAGCAGCAAGACCACCAAATTCAGCTTTGTCACAATGGAGGACCAAAAACAGATGTGAGGCATTGCAACCTGAAATTACACAGTTGATTAATAAATCCCCGCCCATTTCCATCCGTTATTTTCATCACATTGGACAATTTTACCATATTCACAGAAAACAAACATGACATTAAGCAGTGAACATTACTGCTCCAAAATATATATATCCCAAAACTCTGTTCCAAAGATGGATACAAGGGTAAATTTCATAAATGTATGAATTTAATCTTATCTCAGAGAATACTATTTAGTCAAGATCAAATTCATCCTGGAGAATACCATTAAGATAAACTTATTCTTATTCTATGGGCAGATTGTATACTTTAATTACATACCATATAATTAATAGGAGAGAAACAGTGATTTGGATAAGTGGGCTTTTTAAAATAATGATAAATGTGCACAATTTCTTCTAAAACTGCTTCTTTCCTTAATTTTATTTTCTTTTTGAAAGTACAATAGAACAATGATGGCGAACGTTTTTCTGCTCGGGTGCCAAAAGGGCGCACGCATGTGCAATAGCGCACACCTGCATGCTCACATCCATAATGCATATGCATATGTGCACACACACACACCATTCCCCTCCGTCCACGCATGCATGCAGGCCTCACTGAAGCCTCTGGACTTCCAGTAGGCCCGTTGTGCCCATTTTTCACCCTCCCAGGGCTCCAGAAGGCTGAAAATCAGCTGGCCAAAACACACATGTGAGCTGGAGCTAACATAGGGCAACGCCTCGTGTGCCCTCAGATATGGCTCCGTGTGACATAGGTTTGCCATCACAGCCATAGAGTCTGGATGGGAAATCCATGATTATCCAAGTAAAAACATATTGTGTGTCCCTTCCCGCTAACTATAAGGGCAGCAACTGCTCAGAAACATAAATAAGAAACAATTGGGGGGGGGGAGGCAGGTGGCACATGTTCTACACACCTAGTAAAGGTGGTTCTTCCACCCTAGTTTTGTCACTTAAATAAGCATGCTCTCCCACTATCTGCTATTAGTATTATTTTCTGCATATATGGAGACAGCAGCTGAGTAGTTACCAGGAACCCTGCAAGGATAAATGCAATAAAGAAAGCTCTGTTACTCACAAACTCAAGGAAAAGTATTGTATTTAGCCCCATTCTCCTCCATCTTTCTTTGTGTCCACCTCCTTTATTCTCCTAATCCTTTTCTTCACATCCCCTTTTTCTTTTATTCTTCCCCCACCTTTTTTCTTTACCTCCTGCTAAGGCAATTCCTTCAGTGAAAACTGAAATAATGGCAACAGTCTCAGTTATGCCCTTCCTTGACAGGAGTTCCAACTGGTACGTGCTACCTTCTAGAAAACCAGCCCTACTTTGCTCCTAAGAATTAAATCAGTGGGGAAGCACCCTTGGCATCCCATTTGTGGCAAGGAACGAGAACAATTTTACTCCATCTCTGTCATCACAAAAAGGCCTTTTAAAGTCTTTGAAGTACACCATTCATCACAGGAAGCTCCTGAACAAAAATGACTGCTGAGCACTTCTGGGCCCAAAGGAACAGTGAGAACTAGAAACATTCACACAACAGGGTCCCTTCTCCTGGCTTCATGCTGCTTTGAGTTATCAGCCTGCAACACTATCACTGTGATTTTGAGGCAATTTATGGTCATTTGTTCTGCCTTGTAAACTCTGGGGACTGTTCCTTTGCATTCTGTATTCTGGTATTTGACTGAGCTAGTTTTGCAGTGGAGGTAGTTTTGGGGTTTTTTGTTGGTTTTGCTTTGTTATCTTAATCTGCTCGATTGGATAATGTTCCCAAAGTACGATGGCATATACCTAGCTGTTGTGGCCCGGCAGGAGCCGTTGGAGCTGCCACCAGACTCCGACAGCGAGGAGCCCTATGAGTCGGCCTCGGAGGATGTGGAGGACCCTGGACAGGGTTCCGACTCCGAGCAGGGCGCAGAGAGACTGGTTGGCCAC